GTGTGTGTGTGTGTGTGTGTGTGTGTGTGTGTGTGTGTGTGTGTGTGCGCGTGTGCGTGTGCGCGTGCGTGTTCTCAGCAGGTACTCGGTGTGGATGGGGTCAACTTCAGCGTGCACGTGGAGAACCAAACACAGGTGCGAGACACCATGAGTCGGCGACACCACCGGGTCTACCAACTCTACAGCCGCACCAGCGGCAAACACGTCCAGGTGCTGGGACGCAGAATCAGCGCTCGAGGAGAAGATGGAGACAAATTTGGTAAGACACACACACACACAGTAGAACACAGGCACTTCGGTACGTGTGAGTCAGTGTATACATATAGATGCTTCCCTACACACTCACACCGACCAACGGCTGCAAGTACAAAGACTTGAAGGTTGACCAAGTGCATGCATGAACGGATACAGAATGCAACTGTGCCGGCACACTCACAAAAGCACACACACATGCTTCCCCAGGCTTTGGCAGAGGGGCAGTGGAGCTTGTCTTGGGAGTACAAAGACCTCATCGACTGGCTGCTGACTCAATGATTCACAGGAGAGAGAGAGAGAGAAAGAAGGTGTTAGGGAAAACAAGTGTGAGTTAGCGGGAAAAGCCTGGCAGGTAGAGTGTTAGAAACTCATCTCCTTCATCGATCCCGCCATTGATTTCTCATCCTCCCTGTAGTCTCCTCTGGATTTAAAACAGCAGGCTTCCTCTCCGTCCCTCCCTCCATCCTCGAACACTCCCTCTGTCCATCCCCCACTCCCTCCTCCTTTCTCCATCTGTAATGATGTCTAACCCATTCTTAAACCACACACAATCAATGGGCAGAAGAAAGCCAAGCCATAAAGCTTGAGTTCATATTTCTACATGTGCTCAAATGGTCGCTCTTATTGCACATCCTATTGATTCACAAACATGTCAGGTTTCTAACACGCCACTTCAAGCCATAGATGAGACCACAGACACAAAAGCAGGTCTGCTTATAGACAAATACCACTCGTAAGCTGAATAATCCACCCAAAACTGACCAAATATGGCAATGAGGCATTACACAGAGGAATCAGGAGCAGAGAGAGAAGAAATAAAGCATAGACGAGGCTGGTGCATGAAGGTATAAACATGAAGTGAAAGAGCAGAAGGGAGACGAGAGGAGAGTTGGGGGAAGAGAGCGGAAGAGGGCAAGAGGGAGGGAGGTATTGATTTCTTTTGACCCCTTTGTTGACTAAGGTCATGTAGGAACCATTTTAGGGATTTATTTTTAAACAGGCACAAGCGCTCTCTGAAGATGTGTTGTTGGTGAAGCGTTATTGCCTGGAAGGATGAACATGCATGCATCTGCACACACACAAATACACAGCGGTGCACACACACATGCACTCACCTTAAAACAACAGTATCGCAGACACTCAGTCTGTTCTCCCGCTCCTCTCGGCCCACCGTGCTCTGTCTACTGTTAGTTGTTATCTTTTTTACGAGGCCCATTTGTGGTCAGCGGCCTAACATCCATGCGTGTGACCGGGCTTATCTGCCAACCATCTGTCCAGCCAGAGACATTTACATTGGCCCTTGATTTATCAGTATGTTTAATAGCAACTATGAATCCTAAAACTGTGATTCGTTGTGAATGCCGTATCTGGTTTATAAAAACAAATCTGATATAATGCTGGCTGGTAATCTGTGCAATTAGTGTCACACTACTTGCTGTGGGCTTGTTCTTGTTGTTGTTCTTTGAGATGGAAAATGATCTCACGCAACATAAAAACTAAGTGAGCTCTTAATCTGCGTCAGCATTTATCTTTCTTCGTCTAATATTTGTGTGGCACAACCCAATAAACCTGTGACATCCTGCAAACACAACATACTGTATTTTTCTGCATTGCCTGCGGCTCTAATGTCTGTCTGTCCCTCTGTCTGTCCCTTCACAAGCCCAGCTCGTAGTGGAGGCTGATACCTTTGGTAGCCAGGTGAGAATCCGGGGCAAAGAAACCAATTTCTACCTGTGCATGAACCGCCGCGGAAAGCTGGTAGGAAAGGTGAGACTTCTTTCTTTTAGAGACACGTTTATCAAGAATCAATTTATCTTTAAAGTGTCCTGACCAGCCTCTCTTTGTTTCTCCCAACCTGTGTATGTGTGTGTGTGTGTGTGTGTGTGTGTGTGTGTGTGTGTGTGTGTGT